ATTGAAACTTGAGCCGAAACATTAAATTATGTTGTATTTCACATGCTTCCTGAATTGGTGAGTTGCACCTGTGCACACTAATAACCGTATTGACTCTCATTGGTCTTTTTTATACCACTGATTGTTTAATATTGTGATCTTTATAATTTGTTATTTTTATTATGTACAGTTCATACATACTTGTTTTGAAGGCTTACATCTCGAAGGAAGCTCATTCGCTCAAAGTGAATCCACTTGGAAATCTTTTGAGCTGCTGAACCACTTGGCAACTCCGCATTTTTCCGATGCCTCCTGAATGTATCCGATAGAGTTTTCCACTTTTTTTTGGCGTCAGCTAAAGTAACCACACCTGCGAAACAAGAAAGCACATTAAGGTGCAAAGCACATTAAGAAAGCACTCAAGGTTTTGGATCGAAGCTTCCAGATGCTCTCGTCTCGAACACATATATTCCAAAAAATTGTACCTTTCATTACTGCGACCACATCCATCCATAACTTCTCTTTGCTCCGAATGCCCCTTTCTGTAATTGGCAGCTTGAAGTTCCAAAGAGGCGGTCGTTTCCGAATCGCCTCGATGAGACGCTCTTCTATAAAAATCTTCCGGAGATTTTGATTCTCCGGAAGATTTTCTATGTCGAAGCCCTCCTCGTCTGTCATTTCTGCCTCCTGAACGGTCTCCTCTGCATCCTCTCGAACAAGCGCCTCCAAAACATTTTGTTCAGTGCCGTCCACCAGGCTTCTACGCAGAATTTTTCCATCTTCTGCACATACAAAAACTTTACAGCACACGTATTAAATTTTTAACAATAGTATGCATTTCACTGCAAAGTACTTACCACACTGCGGATAAAAATAATATGTCTGCTTGTCCAGATAATAACTGGCGAAAGACTCCAGGCATGGGTGGCTTTGTATTTCATTGGCCATGCAAACCATCTCGCACAGTCCACATGTGTGAACGATTTCATTTTCCTGTAAAATATAAAATATTATATTAATTCCATTAATTAATTAAGCTTTGCAAGCTCTGAGAACAGTGAGAACAATGTATCAAATATCACGAGACACGGTAGTGTCTCGCGCCAAGTGATTACAAACGTGTACCGTAACCTCTACAATTTAATTAAATAATTAATATTAATAACACATTATCTACTAACCTCGTTCCAATGTTCACTGCCGTCGTTGAAATTCATTTTTCTTGCAACGAAACAAAACTATTTAAATACGGCTATTTTTCGCTGAAGTTGAATCACTTCGAACTTCATAGCGACAAAACGACGAGACGGTAACTTTATGCGCGTCGATCGAGGGAGACAGAGTGGGGGAACTGTATCCAGCGCTTTGACGCTGCATGAAATGGCACCTTTAGTTTTCCGACTTTGGCACGACCTGTTTGCTTTGCGCCCATTCGCACGGTTCTGTGCACTTTCTAGCTTTCTCTTTAAAACGTCGATGATAAAAACAGATTTTTGGGCCGCGCGATGAACGGGACGAGTCCCTTAACGATGCCCTTGAATGTGAACGTGAACGTAGGCGTGAACGTGATCGAGGAGATGAATCCCAACGTGTTTGCAGCTCATTTAGTCGTTTAGTGATCTCCGCTAACTGGCTGGCGAGGTTTTCTTCTTGTTTCTGTATTGCCATTAACTCGTGACCTGCATCTGTAGGTCGGTGTTCCATTATTTTGTCTGCTACTGCGGCCAACGCGTTTACGTCTCCCGGTACTACCTGCAATGTCATACGCACATCGTTAGGCAAGTGTTCGAGAAAGAGTGTCTTCAAATCTTCATTGTCGAATCTTCCTGGCCCGGCAAGTGATTTTATTTCGGTGAGTAGTCTGGAAGGTTTCTTCTCCTTTAGCGATAAGCCTGATAGCAATTTTCTCAACTCTTGTCCTCTAGTTAGCGAGTAGTGTTCGGATCAGCAATGTTTTTAGCGCTTCGTAACGGTTTGTATGCGGTAGCCCTGCGATTGCGTTGTTCATGCTGTCGTACACGTCGTCGTCCAAACTGGCTATTAACGCGCTGAACTTGTCGAGTTCGGATGTTCCGCGAGCTTGGAATTCACTCTCCGCGATTTGGAACCATGCCCTGACGTTATTGCTAGGCTTGAACTTGCGTAATTTGACTCGAGTGTCGACGTATCCGTGAAATGCGGTGGCCCGTGCACCGCCGGTCCTACCTGCTGCTGTTTCGGGCAACCCTGGGTGTTCGTGCATTCCCTGTGAAGTTTGATTTGGCAGTGTGGTTTTCGTGTTTTGTCCTCCTTCCAATACAATGGCGCTCTGGCGTGTTTGTTTGTCGTCGTCATTTTCCTGCTCTTCGCTGTGCTCGGACGTTTTTGGCGGCTGTATCCCCGTGTCCATTGTCTTCTCGGGTACTTGTGTTGGGTTGTATGTGAAACCGGACCGTAGCGTTCTATGTTCGCACATAGGCGTTTGTGCGGTTACGTATGTTCACACTCTGCGTTGTGTCGATTCCGCTGGTACCTCTAATCAAGCGTCGGGGTCACCATTTGTGGCGATGTTTATTAGGTGTTAGGTAACTCGTAAGGATCGACACTATAGTTGTAAATATTCTTTATTGCAGAGCCCGATACAAGGTTTCGCAACTCTAAACGCTTGCATCAGCCTACTACCCTCGCATGAACTGAAACTTATATAGAGAGACTTCTCCTGTGTCGGTTCGGGGTTACCGACCGTGCTGTAGTTACATGAAATCCCCACAATGTTGTGGGATGTTTCGTATCTCTTCTTCTGCAGTCCCAACTTCTACAGGATACAGGATACAGGCGTGCACGAGCGGTCAAATAATAGCGACGGTTGTTGGATATAACGTACTTTTAGTCTTAGCGTCGATACGTACGCTCTTACATCACCCAGAGACAATTGACAATCTCTCTTACTTCGTCTACATACAAGACTCGGCTACACCATGCTGAGGCCACGGTAGCGCCGAACTCTCTATCTATTGGCCGGGGCTGATTCGCCCAAATATGGCGGTACAAAAATATAGGAGCGTATCTCCATAATATTCCCCCCTGAGATACTGCTTACAAATAAAAACAAACTGACTTAATAATTATAATAATTGCTTCAAACTTAAATCTAGATCACAAAACATAAAACTTATATTAATCCTTAATGTATTATTTATTGAAATGAATAGTTTTTTTAACTTTGGATAGTTTCGAATATGTTTTTAACTCGGAAAAGGTCTTTGGTATTGGTTGTGTACTACTTTCTTTACCAGAGTGTGATGGTTCCGATGACGAAGTCCTTGTAGGAGATTTGTTCAGAGCGATAGTGTCTTCCTGTGCGAGGTAGGCAGGTTTCAGGCGCTCCACCGTTACGTTGGTTATTTGACCGTTTACCTCGATGGAGAAAACTCGATCTGAGATTCTCTTGATGATTCTGTGTGGTCCGGAATAGGGATGTTCCAGGGGACGTCTGACGGTATCATCTCTTAGGAACACATGCGTACAGGTGTACAGGTCTTTGTATACGAATGGTTTGTTTCGAATGTGATGAGCCGTAGGAGTTGGCCGGATGTGTTGCATCATCTTCCGGAAGGGTTCAACGAAGTACTGCGGATTGTTCGATGTCTCCTCATGGTCAAAGAATTCGCCAGGAATCCTGAGGGTCTTACCGAACAGTAGCTCTGCGGTTGATGCTTGGATATCTTCTTTGTAGCAGGTGCGAAGGCCTAGCAGAACGACAGGTAAAATATCGACCCATTCGTTGTTAGCTTGACACATGATTGCCGTTTTTAGGGATCTGTGCCAACGTTCGACCAGCCCATTGGATTGAGGGTGGTATGCTGTGGTCCGGTTGCGTTTGGTTCCCATCAAATTTGTCAAAGCGTTGAATAGTGTTGCCTCAAATTGAGAACCGCGATCGGTCGTTATGATTTTCGGCGCTCCGTAACGGGCAATCCAAGTGGAGAAGAATTGTCTCGCGATGGAGTCTGCTGAAGTTTCGACCAAGGGAACGGCCTCGGGCCATCTAGAAAAACGATCAATTAGTGTTAAGCAGTACTTGAAACCACGTGATGGCGGGAGTGGACCGATAATGTCCAAATAGACGTGTTCGAAGCGTGAATCTGGGACTTGTAACTTCTCTGGAACAAAGTGGTTGTATCGAGCGATTTTAGAACGCTGGCACTGTAGACACGCCTTTGCCCATGCAGTTATGTCCTTGTTTATACTGGTCCAGACAAACTTTTGAGCTATCTGTCGTCGGGTGGCTCTTCCGCTCGGGTGAGACAGTCGGTGCACAATATCGAAAATACGCTGTCGCAGAGTTAACGGCACGAATGGTCTTATTTCATCTGTGGAACAATCGCAATACAGAGTTGAGTTAGTTTCCGGAAGGAGGAATTTCTGTAACTTGAATGACGATGATTGTGCTTGCAGTTCACGTTGCAAATCCTCATCTGATGTTTGCTCGCGTGCGAGTTCTTCCGTGTCGACAATGGTTGTGTTGCTGCGCCGCTCCGTGCGCGGTGTATTTTCCTTGTTACTCGCTCCGGAGGTGTTCTCTGACGAGAACCGAAAGGATTCTTTGATGGGATGTGGCTGGTCGGAGGTCACTTCGAAGAGGCACCGTTGGATCTCACAGATTAACTTTATTTAACTGAGTTTCACAAGATAGGTTGACGGCAGGCCGACGGCGTTTAGTATGTTAGCGGATACGCGATAGTGACAAGTGCCCCGATCTCGGGCTTTCCTCTGGTTTTAAGCCCGATGATCGAGGCGTCAGCGTTTTCGGTACTCGATCGAGGTTTCTCGGTACTCGATCGAGGTTATGCGTAATCGGGTCGAGAACTTGCTGACTTCTTCCCCGAATTTAATTAGGTTGCGCGGTCGGGCTTTTGTGGCTCGATCGCGCAATATGCTTACGCTAGTGTTATTTTACAGGCGATTACATTGCTTGAGTGCCCTCCTTACCTCTTTCGGCAATCGGGGCACAACATCCCTCCCCCTTTGGAAGAAGGAAAACTGAGGGATGAAGTTTTCCGCTAATGGGTTTACCCTCTCCCTTTTTCCTTGTTCCTTACAGTATTTCTTTACATTATCTGCTTAGTACAGCATCGCGGGTTCGCGGTTAACATAGTTTGGTGTATTCTGTTGTTTTTTCGTTCTACGATATATTATCCATGCGCTTATGCCTATTATGCTAATTATAATTATTGCCATCCCCGAGCTTAGTGAATACGCGACGTATCTGTTCGCAAATATGTGTTCGCTTGTTCCGTTTTCCAATTCTCTTTCGAGTTCCCGTGTGCTTAGGCTTAGTTCTATTAATTCCTTCGGGTTCGTTATTACGGGTTTTAACTTTAGGTTACTTTGTAAGTTTAGCTGATGTCCTTCGGCCATGGGGTTGACCGTGTTTTTCGTTAAATTATATCCCGGTAGGTGTGTCTGTACTACTTTATTTCCTATTCGTGTTTTAGTTTTCAGAATTACGTCGGGTGTGTTTAGCTTACACTTATCTTGTAAAGTGACTTTCCCTGTGTTGTTTATAGTGATTTCGATTTCTGGCTGTCCGTTACATTGGACGCTGATTCGTTGCTCTCCTCGCGAGGAGTATAGCCAGGTGTGTGTCTCTTCTACCGCTATCCAAACGGTCCGGTTGCTCGTAAGGTGTCGTTTTTCGCACGCATTTAGGTGGCCCGGGGCCTTTACATAGGTTTGCACCTCGCATGGTGCGTCTCCGCTTACGTGGAATGTCGGGAATGCTTGATTGCATACATATTTTTCTGCCGTTCGCGTGCAAGTCTCTAGTTCTCGCTCTTTGATTATTAGATAATTGTGGTTTTCCCTATCTATCGCCATTAAATCTCCGGACGTTTTTACGAATGTGAATATGTTGTCTCGCTCGTGGGCGGGAAAGGGAGTCGTTTTTATTACCTCGTATATTGGGTAGTTTACAATCGGGAATTTCAGAATGGTGTATACGTGAGGCATGTTTACGTACGCGGCTACCTTCACGTATTCTTGGATTGTTTGCCAGTTTTCGGCCTGTACTTTGAATGGGAAGTGCTGTCCTGCCCCTAGGTATGTCACAGCTTCCCGAAGTTCCGTCATTATTAATTCTATCGGCAGCAGTCTTGTTAAAATTATTCCGTGTCTCGCGTGAGTCAAGTAATCCGTTACGTCAGTTATGTCTCTCGCCAATGTGTTCGTTATCTCGCTTATTGTCACGAGGTGTTATATTATATCCTCGCGGTTCGTCAGTCGTGAAACCTGACCCT